TCTTCATTACTCCCGGACATGCAGGGTAATCGCCTTTGACTAAGAGCTGGAAGAGGGGTCAAGATCAAGACTGGGGATTAGAGCTGGGATTAAAAAGGAAAGAATGGTCGTTTGGAACATTGTGTGGATGGTGTGGTCATGTGGCTGGTGGGCAGATGGGGAAGATTGAAAGGTGAGGTGGGGTTATTTTTTTTAATTTCTTTTTATTATATTGTTTTATTATTATTTTGATTTGGACAATTAGATTAGATTTTTTTGTTGGGATTATATTGATTTTTTTCGGAAGCGCTCATAGTTGTTTTTATTTCATTTTTTTTCATGACAAGGATTTAAGATTTCGGCGTTAAATAAAAAAGAGGACGAAAGAAACGATTTATAGATTCATGTCAAAAGAGGAGATAAAACGTCCCTCATATCTCTCTCTTTGATGGTTCATGAAAGGAACACGAAAAAACAAGAACAAAACAAACAAGCAAACAAACAAACAAGGTACAGGGTCCGAGGAAGGCGAGTTGGAGGACTGTTGCATGTCAAGCGCTTCTGTTTCCTTTCCTTTGGGGAAATTTCCTCCCCACCTCTTCTTCTCCTCCTCTTTCCCCCCCCCTTTCTCTCTTCCTCACACTCCCCGCCATCTCCTCCTTCCACTTCACCCTCCCCCTACTCCTCCTTCCATGCTCCCCTCCACTCCACTTTCTATCCCCACCCCTCTACCTCCTAATCCAACACTCCTCTCAATCCCCCACTCACTTCACCCCTACTCCCTCTCCCTCCCCAACAATCCCCCCAACTTCCACCCACTCACTTTCCACCCCCTGCTCCCTCTCCCTCCAACAATCTCCCCCACTCCACTTTCTACTCATCTCCCACAAACCCCCACACTCTCCACCCACTCCGCTTTCCACCCCTTCTCCCCTCCCCTCCCAACAATCTCCCCACTCCACTTGATCCCACTCCCCCCACACTCTCCTCCACTCCGCTTCCCTAATCCCCCCCACTATCCCTCCCCATACAACTCCCCACCACCTCCCTCATCCCCAAATCTCCCCATCCGCTCTCCCCACCACTCCATTCCCCATCCATCTCTCATCTCAATCTCCCCACCACCACTCCAATCCCATCCATCTCTCATCTCCCTCATCTCTCCCCACCACTCCAATCCCCATCCATCTCTCATCTCCCTCATCACCTCCCTCTCTCTCCCCACCTCCAATCCCATCCATCTCTCATTCCTCATCCTCCCCACCACTCCAATCCCATCCATCTCTCATCTCCCTCATCCATCGCCTCCCTCATCTCTCCCCACCACTCCAATCCCCATCCATCTCATCTCCCTCATCATCTCCCTCATCTCTTCCCCACCACTCCAATCCCCATCCATCTCTCATCTCCCCTCATCTCTCCCCATCACTCCTCCCCATCCATCTCCTCATCTCCAATCAATCCCCATCCATCTCTCATCTCCTCATCTCCCCACCACTCCATCCCCCATCCATCTTCATCTCCCTCATCATCTCCCTCACCACCGCTCCAATCCCCATCCATCTCTCATCTCCCTCATCTCTCCCCACCGCTCCAATCCCCATCCATCTCTCATCTCCCTCATCTCCCCCCACCACTCCAATCCCCATCCATCTCTCATCCATCCCTCATCTCCCACACTCCAATCCCCATCCATCTCTCATCTCCCTCATCTCCCCACCACTCCAATCCCCATCCATCTCTCATCTCCCTCATCCATCGCCCTCCCTCATCTCCCCACCACTCCAATCCCCATCCATCCCATCTCCCTCATCTCCCCACCGCTCCAATCCCCTCCATCTCTCATCTCCCTCATCTCCACCGCTCCAATCCCCATCCATCTCTCATCTCCCTCCTCTCCCCACCGCTCCTCCCCATCCATCATCTCCCCATCCATCGCATCCATCTCCAACCCCTCTCGTCCAAATCCATCTCTCATCCCTCATCTCCTCATCCTCCCCTCATCTCCCCACCACTCCAATCCCCATCCATCTCTCATCTCCCTCATCTCCCCACCCTCCAATCCCCATCCATCTCTCATCTCCCTCATCTCCCCCATCAATCCACCCCTCCATCCCCAATCACATCATCTCCCCATCTCCAATCCCCATCCTCTCTCATCTCCCTCATCTCTCCCCACCACTCCAATCCCATCCATCTCTCATCTCCCTCATCTCCCCACCGCTCCAAATCCCCATCCATCTTCATCTCCCTCATCTCCCCACCACTCCAATCCCCATCCATCTCTCATCTCCCTCATCTCCCCACCACTCCAATCCCCATCCATCTCTCATCTCCCTCATCTCCCCACCACTCCAATCCCCATCCATCGCCAATCCCCATTCATCTCTCATCTCCCTCATCCCCACCACTCCAATCCCCATCCATCATCTCCCTCATCTCTCCCCACCACTCCAATCCCCATCCATCCTCTCATCTCCTCATCATCCCATCCCTCATCTCTCCCCACCGCTCCAATCCC